AACTCGTTTTATTTAATATTGTATAATACATTGTAATTAACATTTTGTTATATATTTAAAAAATCTTTGATAGTTTATTAATATTATGTTTTTTTCACTATTTTCTAAAAAAAAATTTATTTTTGAAACCGAGAAAAATCAAACTTTTTTCATTGTTTTTTTCTCTCACTTGTAATAAAATATGTATAAATGGAATATCACATTCTGTATGAAAAAGGCGAGTCGTCTGTGGGTTTTCATATCTACAGCTAGAGATAAATTAATTTTTGACTTTTGTTAACACATCTTTAATCTGGGGGTCTTCTAATTTTATTCACACATGTTCGTCGCAAATTCGAGTAACATTTCGAAACGACTTTATTCTAAAATAAGACTATTTCAGAATTTCTGATGTTTTTTAAATAGAAAATGATCGCATGTGGTATATAATTGATATATCATACATAATTTTAGAGATATTTTATTTTATTCCATCAAAGCTTATCAAAGTTTTATACACACGTCAGACGGGCATAGATATATTTATTATATAAAAGTATATGTAAAATATTTATAATTTATGAGAGTTAGCAATAAAATTTAATTACATATTATTTTTAATTATGTTGAAGATTCGCGACTGTGCTTCAATTACTTGGGGTTTCACATTCTCGCGATATTTTAATGAAATTACACTTTAGTAAACTCGTTCTCACGTATAATTTCATCGCGTGTAACCGCTGCTTAGCAACTATGCGCATTTAAATATCTCGGTATTTCAAAATAATATGCAAATTTATCATAGCTCTCAGCTTTAGTAGCAACTTTTTCCCTTTCTCTCTCTCCTTCTCTCTCTCTCTCTCTCTCTCTCTCTCTCTCTCTCTGGTCGAAACCCAATTTACGAAATTCCCTGAGCAACGTGCCGTATCGAAGGTACACCGGCTGAAACGGACCTAATCGGATTAGAAATCGCAAACTAAAAGAGTGAAGCATATAATTCAATTCGTGTCGCTTTCTCTCATTGTCCGGGACAATACCAATTAATCGGCCGTACTTGCAGCTGACATAAAGCGCATGATAACACACTTGCGGTCAAGAGCTGACTAATTACGGATCATTTCTCGATCTGCATGAGCATTTATCTCGTTTAACTATGTGATCGTAGCATCATATCGGTAGAAGTAACTGGAAACACGTAAGCCTAGCAAATTTTCATATCTAAACTATTTTATTTTTTTATATGTAGGTACTATATATTAATATTTTATTCTAGCCATTGTATGCGTGTTTTGCGCTAAAATATTATAATATAAAATAATTTTTATTATTAATATCTGTTATGATTATTAATATCTTTCCTGTCATAAAATTTTCAAAATACCCAATTAAAATTATGAATATCAATTTATATTATCTTTTTTTTTAAATACATCTGCGATTTTATTTGATTATACATAGCGAGTCTGAATCCATTGTTATCACCATAAAAGGCGACATCAGTTGGCACTAGATTATCGTTGCACCGTTATTTATTGGTTTCTGCGTGAAACTAGGTTTATATGCGTCCTCGCTTAGACGGCTATTTCACAATTTTATTGCGGCTTTTTCTACTTACGGATTTAAAATGCGTCGTAGAAAACATTTAAATCCCTCTTGGCTCAGAAGATCGTGAACTGTAAAGTCTCTGAAATTGAGTCTCTTTGTTGACCTCACCACATTTACGTACTTAACGTCCGCTATTAAGGCAATAGTATATTTTTCGCATTTATAGTTATCCTTCGTTTATCGTTACAATGGTAATTAACATTGAAATTAGCGACAGTCATGAAGAAATCTTTTTGTCAATTATATTATTACTCTATTATTTTAAATGTTTATGTATCTCCTCAAATTTTTTTTGTTAAAGGTATAATATATGTATTAAAGCAAAAGTAAGACTTTACAAAAAATATTTAGATTCTAAAAAAATGCAGATGAGTGCGCAAAATTGTAGCTATTAAACGCGCTTTATGGCACATTTTGTATGCAAACAGTGTCTGTTGTCTTTCGCTCGGAATAGAAAACAC